TCGTCAATTTCTCTCTTCTTGTAAAGTTGTAATTATTTTAATTATTTTTATTTCCAAACTGATTTTAACCAGTTCTATAGTAAGGTAACATTCCAATAGACAATATGCAAAGCTTTTTTTTCAGTTTACAGCAGTATTTATTACACAAAATTTAAGTAAAGCTTAACATGCCGATCTTGCCCCGATCTCCCCTAAATAAAGCAGAATGTGTCCGTAAAATACACGTAACCTACATCTAGTTTTATATCAGATAATAGCAAGGACTTTTTTTTTCTTCTTACAGTTTTTAAAATTTCAAATATTTAAAAATTAATTAATTCGGTTAATTAATTAAAATGTATTGTGATATATTTTTTTTCGTACGCTAAAAGTCAATATTCTATTAAGATTTTTAGAATTTTAATATTAAAAATTTGAGAAATATTTAATGATATAAAATTTAATTAATAATTACAATACACGTATCGTTCGTTTCTTTTAGATTTCCATTCGAAAAACCGAAACATCTAAGGAAAAAAAAATCTGATAAGCATAATGTATAAATTTTTACCGTTTTCAGGACGCTCCCGTTCTTTTCGTGTTATGAGGACTGCTTAGGAGGTCATCTTATGCTGACCAAGAACATTAACATAACCATTGAGGTAAGTAAAATGGCCGCCTTCAAACAGCGCTTTACTATAGCCTCAGGTGTTAGAGGGTGCTGAGTTTTCAGTTGTGAAGGATCGGTCATTAGAGAAGGATGTTCATGACTGAATCTCGTAGAAAGTTCTCTCGACAGAAAGAAACAACTAAAGAGGTAAGATGTACACTCAATTAATATTTTTTTGTGTAATTATATGGTATAATATTCATAAGACATTGATTTAATTCGAGTTCATTCCTTAAACATGAAATGTTTTAGAAAACTTTTTTAATTCATAGATTATTCTTTCACATTTTTAAATTGATTTTTTCGGCTTTAAATATAAATATATTATAATTTTAAAATGTAATTTAAGTGATTACAATGCGACCTGATTTTTTTTATTTTTATTTAATGAATTTCTAAAACCAGTCGATACCGGTACGCGTGTTTTTAGACAATTGTATTCTACATATATATATAAATTGTATAAACATTCCTCCTCTTTCTCCTCCTCTTCATCATCATCATCTTCGTTGTAATTATTAAATACAGAAATTTTCCGATACACGATAACTAGAATAGTAAAAAAAGGTTATTTATGCGTGGGTGTACACGCTGTACTTATGTTAATAATTATACATATTTTGTAGTCAAGCGATTGCTACAATCTATCCTCATCCCAACGTGGGCGGGCATGTGACGTCACGGTACTCGTGTCTGTCGCAAAGAACGTCGGGTAGTTGGCGTGTGGTTACAACCTGTAGTTAACATGTTCACCCGAAGGGTTGTCGGAGGGGGCGGCATCATCGGGTCGTAGGTCAAATCGTCGGTATTTAGGGGGCACTTTACGGGGCTATGCCTATAGTCTTCGTGGAAATTTTCCCGACTCCATACCTTTATTTTTTTTTTTCCTTATCTGTAATTTCTACATGCCTCTCTGGACAATTTGACGAAAGTACCGCACGTTTGCCAAATTAGCTAAATTGGAACGTGTCTGATTTCTGAGAAATCGCAATTTGTCTTTTGTTTCATTATTCTATCTTTAGAATTCTCGATACTTTCTCCTTCTTTTATTTATTTATTTCTTTCTTTGTGATGCAAATGTTCCGTTTGGATGTTCTGAAAAATACATTATCACCTTTATTCCAAAGATTAAGAAATGTTTAAAAATATAATTTAGGTTAAAATAAGTTCATTTTAATGTACAAAAAACATTTTCTTGAAGAATTTCATTCATATTTATATATTTATTTGGCTCACAGATTACCTATCAAGCGCCGAATTGCATACTTTACACCATTATAACTGAATAAATCTTATTTATTTATTTATTTTTAAACTTCTCATTACCATCATATTCGAATTTACAATTGTTTGAAACAAAAAAAAAGTAAATTCTGTATTATCATTTATTAATTATTATTAAAAATTTTAAACGTAGAAATTATTTCCATAAATTTGTTTTTTTTTTTTTTTATAATCATAAAATATTTTAATTGCCATCGTAATTAATTGGTAATTAATCTTCGAAGCGTGTACATTTTGAATTATTGAAGTTGCATAAAAGGGACGTGCAATCTTGTTTAGCACGTGACATGCAAACCAATAGTGCACGAGACAATTATGACGTGGAGATGCGAATCGTTAAGCAGTGATGGATGATTGAATGCAAAAGAGATGGCAAACAACGTCTTTATTTTTACTCAAGACGTTCAAAACTGGTTTCGTCTACTCGTTTTCGAATTCGAAATTGAAATAATTTAAAAAACAAAAAAAAAAAAGAATCAATATTCGAGAAATATCGAATTCGAAAAATAACGAAACTTAAATCGATTAATTCATTATCTTTCTTTTGATTATACTCGATGATGTAAACTCGTTTTTTTTGCGATGGTTTTTTTTTAAACTTTGCTCGATTAGATGGTAATTAAAGTGATCAAAACAAGATGTCAGGTCATGATCTTTCCTTTTTTTTTTCTCACGGTTTAGTAGCATTTTGTGTTAACCTTCGGGCTACTCTTCTCTCACGAGTAACTATAGATAAGACTACAAAATGCACCAAATTATGTAACCTCTCTTCATTCTTCATAGAGAGTAAATACATCATCCATTGTATTTTTGGAAATTCTTTTACTTTAAAGAAATATATCAATAACATCATCTTACAAGTTCAGTCACGTTAATAGTCGTTTATAATAATGACCGTTTTTTTTTTTTTTATTCTTAAACGCAAAATGTTTTTGTTTACATTTTTAGAAAAGTTTAGTGTTTTAATCTAATTTATACTTAAATTTTTTAAATAAAATTTATAAAAGATAAAGCGTATCAATATATTCGTATAGTATAGTTGAATATGTAAATCACAATACATAATTATTTTCAATAACTTAATAGGGATAACGTGAAAGAAGGATAGACAAGAAAGAAGAATGACCTAGAAAAGTTCCATAAAATATCTATATTTTTATTGCTTTAAACTTTATTTAAAGTCTGAAATATAGGACTTTAAATCTTAAGGAATTTCCAGGAAGGATCTCAAATATAAGTAAAGTACGAATGGTTGTATTTTCGATCCTTTCTTAATGATTTTTACATCCATTTCTCTCTTATATTTAGATCTTTTTATTTTGTTTATATGCTTGTTTTTGATAATGCCGATAATTTTATTTCCTATTTGAAAATTAGAACATATCCCAAATACTTTAAAATATTAACCTCATTTAAAACGTTTAAATTTTTTTAGAGTAAAAAACTTGTTATTCAAATCTTATAATCTACATAAAAAAACACTTAGAAATATATAGTATATATTGAAAAACTATGGGCATTTTATATTATATTTATGCTGTATATATATATGCTCTAATTTGAAATTATAAGAGCTGAAAATAAATAAATATATATATATATATGAATTAAACAACAGGTTATTAGGAAGAAATGGATATAAATTATTCACTGCATGTATTTTACATTATAAAGTTAATGAAAATTAACTGCAGTTTTTAATAATAAGTAACGCCCAGAAATTGTATATAAACTACGTGTCCACCTACATAATTTCATAAACATTCATTGTGATAAATGTTCTTAAAGTAAAATGAAATATTTCTATATAAAGACCTACATGAATGCATGTTGCTTAGAATAGTTTAATATATATAATGAAAATTGGAAAGACGTGGGTTCGGTTCCCATTTTGGGAACCGAACTCACGTCTTTCCGATTTACACGAAATTTTCCTTTGGGTTATCTGATCTTTGTTTCTTTGGATAATTATATGGTTTACTAACGTGTCAGCTGTGAATTTTTTTTTTTTATGATACATCGAGAAGGAGCAATGTTTCAAAAAGAAACATGTTTAATAAAAATATTTTATGAGAAATTGTATACTGTTAATATATTATATATTTTAAAAAAGTCGTTAAGAATTGTTTAACGAGGTTTTTTTTTATAGTTTTATAGTTAATTTTTATAGCAGAGGTTGTAAAATTTCGTGATTCTTCTACTCTCTAAAAGAATTGATATGATCATGATCGAGACTTTTACAAAGAAAAAATATATGTCCAAGTTAACTTAATAGCTGCAAAAATAAAATATTAATGTCCGAGAATTAATTATTTATAGTATAAATATGTTTAGCTACTGTTTTTAGTCTCTAACTTCAGTACAAACATTTATTGTCCTGTTGCAAGAACATTTAATTTAATGATTAACAAAAAATATTTTCTTAATAATAAATNTGTAATTACATTTAAAATTCTCCAATAAAATGTAGAATTGTATAGAATATATTTTAACATGATTAGGTTGACAAGAAAGTTCTTTTTTAAAAAATAACCGTAATAAAAAATATATGTAAAATGAATTAAAATAACGAACTTGGAACATAATTGTTTTTAAAAGAAAAATCTTACGAACATGAGCGGTCCTTTGCTAAATATGAAAGATAAACGTTTTAAAGATTTCAAACGATAATTGGTCGAACGTTCGATGATTGATTGTCTAAGTAGGCGGAGTTTAATTACTTCAGTTGATTTTTTTATTATTTCTTTAACCAATTATCGTTAAGATAATTAAATATTCTTTATGATCTTTTAGTCTTTTATACAACGTTTGGCGGAGGGATAATTTTGTTCGTAGGAATTTTTAAATTAAATTTTCAATTTATGTCTTAAAATTGTTAGCATAAATAATTTTGACGTTTGGTAGAAGAAGAAAATTTTTTAAAATTGTGATTTTTATTTAAATATCCGAGAATATGACCTGAAATGAAGAATTAGCTTACAAATTAAAATAATTAATACAATAGTTCACTAAAAACTATTAAAATAGTGAAAATTAACTAAAAATTGTTTGTAAAATAGACTATTAATAATTAATCCGTGATATAAGAATGGTCAAAATTTCTGTTAATTTTGAATTTTTTCATTAGTTTAATTTAATTAGAATCAAATTAATAAAAAATTAAATTAACATCATGTAAATAATTGTTTTAAAATATTTTAAAAATATGTTTCTATGTGTAATTATAAAAAAAAAAAAGTATGTTATAATCCTTATACAGTAATAATATAAATTTTGCAATTGTTAAAAAAATCAGTTTTTATTTAAGTTAAAAAATCCTTATTAAAACCAATCGATATATATATATATTGAAGAAACTTTATACATTTAATTTATTGTTAAATTTTTATTAATTTGGATAATATGTGATGACATTCCTCTTAACATTCTTAATAATATATGATTTATAACTTTAAAATGCAAGAAAATATGTTATGAAATATAGAAGAAAGAAAATTATGTGAATATGAGTGGTTCTTTGCTTGATATGAAAGACAAAATGTTTTAAAGATTTTCAACGATGATTGGTTAACTAGCGATTGATTGACAAAGTGGGAGGAATTAACATATTTCTTTTACTTCTGTTTAATTAATTTAAGATAATAAATATAAAGTACTTTTTAAATGTATTTTTTTTTGTTAACTTTGATTGTTTTTTTGAATTTTTAC